ATTTGATCAAGACCTATAGCCAAATTGTGTCCATTTAGTAAAATTAAAAAGTGAAAATTACCATAATAGGTATTTTTCAATAAATTTTTTAACTAATAATTCATTTTTTCACTGGCTATAGGTCTTAATAGCTTTGAGAAAAAATGTATATGGGTTTATTTCAAAGGATTGAAGAGCTGCAACCTGATTTGACGAGTTAAAGGGCGACGGTCGTCGCCATACCATAATACCATTACCATAATAGGTATTTTTCAATAAATTTTTTAACTAATAATTCATTTTTTCACTGGCTATAGGTCTTAATAGCTTTGAGAAAAAATGTATATGGGTTTATTTCAAAGGATTGAAGAGCTGCAACCTGATTTGACGAGTTAAAGGGCGACGGTCGTCGCACTGTGCATGTAAGACATTTGTGTTGATAAAAATTGATTTTCCCACAATCCAACGCGCTCTTCTAATGGAAATCACAAGTATAAGACCTGGGTGAGACTTGCACTAATTACCGCCGGTGATTCATTCAATACCTTCTAATCATCTAAAAAACACCTAATTAAAGCTTGGTAACATCTCAGTTTGTACTCGTTGATCTGCGTCAAAGTCACAGTCAAAGTCGCCACCTTTGTCTATACAAGACCCATATATCTCGCGCATGCGTGGCACGACGACTACCGTCCTTTAACATTACATTATAGCTTACCCTTGGTTGATTTGTCTATTTTGGTCACATATAGCATGAATTTTTATTTTAAATTACGAAAAACAATCAACACAACATGAATGTTTGTGTATGTTCACAAATTAGGGAATAGTTTGACACCATCAGATCTGACTACAAAACAAAATGTACAAGTATGATTAGATGAGAATTATCTTTTAAAGATTAAAATAATCTTACTTAATTTTAAATAATATATTCATTCTCAACAAATGCAAGGTCATGGAACATTTTTAATTGGAATAATTGTACATGTATAAACTATAATTTTGATTATATAATAACTAAGAAACCCATGATGATTACACAAAAACAAGACACGTATTTTATCTGAACTGAATATGACAAAACCAAATAAAAATTCAAGAATTAACCATTTGAAAGCTACAATTTTTCCATAAAAAATGTTGGCGCAAGGTTTTGCTTATTTTCAAGTATTTTTCCATGATATTTTGAACCAATTTAACAAGTATTCTACATCAAAATTTTGGAAAACATCTGTGAAAACTTTGGTGCTCAAAGGGTAAAAAAAAAAAAAAGCCTACCGGTATTAAAATATAGCTTTGGAGCTTTCAGAAAATATATAACAAGACAATGTGCTACTGGTTGTGCTAATTAAACATATAGGTGGCAGTACAGACACATTGCAGATATTTATGTCGAATTGAGAACAAAAAAACAGCATGATGATTCGGTACACGCATATCTTACAGAATGACACTCTGATGAGTTTAACTGTTCCTGTTTGAAGATGGGTGAGCTTGATATACATTCGGTTTGATATGCTTCAGTCAGTACAGACAATGTATTAAATAAAAAAACATAGGAATGAAAACACAAAACCATTCAGTGTATCTTGCATGAAGAATTGATATCCTGAATCAGCTGGCAGCTCGACTCTTGGTGAAAGAAGGCTGCCTTTCGTGTGTCACGGTCGTGGAGGAGGTGGCATGAGACCTGAATCACCGGATGTCCTGTGACTCTTTGAGGATGATGGTTGCCATCGTCTATACTCAATAAATTCAAATAAATATTCTTTGTTGACTGGATACATTATACTGTTGCATACAGCTGAAACAAAATTTCCAAATTACCTGATTAATTAAATGCTAGAAAGGACTGAACAATCTTATTTTGGCTGAATGGTTTAGCCCTAATTAATACTATCACTATCCGTTAAATACTTAAAAATACTTTATTTTCACTTAGAATTATATACGCTATTTTCGCTGAAGGAATGCTCAGTGAAAATAAAATCCAGCGAATATATCTAAAATTCTTATATTTTACATTCAACTCATCAAAAAAAATCAGTGAAAATAAATTCCATACAAAACACCCAAAAAGTCTTTTCAGCGAAAATTAATTCCAGCTAAAATAAAGTATTTTACAGTATACCGTACTGTGTCGCGTTATCGCCCAGGGTCCTCAACTAAAAAAATCATGATTTTTTAGGGAGGGCGCGTACTCAAACACCACCCTCGAACAAAAATGCAAATGACAATTTTGATTCGCCATGTGACAAATGGAGGGAGATATTATGTCTTTGAGGGAAAATAAAATTACGAAATTAGTTGTGTCGTCATTGACTTTTACAATGAAGAAACAGAAATGGTCACCAAAAATATGCACATTTTCTTACAATAATAATTACGTACCACCCAAATTTACGAGATTAAAAATATTGCATCATTATCTCCACTGACGAATGTGTTGGATCGTATGCAATCGCTCGATGAAAAACACTTTCCACCATGATTTGACCTGCCACATCGTCCTTTGACATAATGGGTCAGGTCTGTTATTAACCAATCAGAATACTGTGTTGTACCGACGCAATTCTTCAGAAATTCCCGAAGACTTTCTGGTAACACAGTGCAGAAGTAAATTATCGATGTCGAAGTACGATCTGTTGGAATTGACTTTTGTGAATAAGCAACATAGTTTTTTCAAAAAACTGGTAACTAGCAATTTTTTATAGGTAAACTGAATATGGCATGAAATATTTACCGCATTTTACTTTCATTAGCAGGTCATTGTAGAAGTGTAGTTTACGCACGGTTACCGTGGTCTACACATTCACAACGTATTCACGGCGGTTGATATCCACACTGTATCATATAAAAGCAATTACCAGTATTCGTTAAGCAATGATCAAAGACCAAGTTTTAAATTAGTGGTATTTTGAAGTGGTGGGTGCTTTGCCGAATGTGACCCAGAATATAAAAATTGTACAAAAGTAGAGGGTGGGCGCTTGACAAGGGGTGGGCGCTAACACGGTCCAGTACGGTAATAAAACAATTAAATACATTTAAATTGTTAAACACTAAAAAGTTATGAACAAAAAATTAAAGGGCATTCTTTAATTCAATTAAATCAAAATGTGGGAATTTCTCAACAAAAAAAGTTAAAATAAAGAAGTTAGTTATACAAGTTTTATAGCGATCAGTTAAATTTTATTAGAGTTATCACACCTACAAGTAAAGTTGGTGATGACGACGGCAATAATGACAATGCACGACAGTCATTTGCCCTTACTATGAATTATTTTTCACTTCATTACGGACAAATAAAAAAAAAAAAATGTGTCAAATGTTGAAAATTATACTGTATAATATACTGTTATAAATATATGGACAGTTACAGAGACTAAAACAATAGCCCATGTCACAATGATTGTCTCA